TCATAAAAATAAAATAATGAACATCAAGAGTGGTAAAAACACCATGATATTTGAAAAAATCAATATAACTTTTTTTTATTTCAATTCCGTTTCAAACGATTCGTGGGTTACTATGAATATCCGATGACATTACAACAATGTGGTAAACTTAATTGTTGCTGCAATGAGAATTCTCTGCAGACTACTCCTATCGCTTATTTCCTACTTAAGTGGACTATCATAGTGTATGCCCAATTGCGTTGATCTCAACACGTTGTTGGCTTGCAGACGGTGATTTTATTGATTTTTTGGGGAACATTGTTTTATATTGGTTTTTTTTTATTTATTAAAACACACTTAAGAGTCACTTAAGATTACATCCGGCAAAGCATTTGGTATATTAGTAACCTGTAGGCGACGGTATCCAATTTTACAATTACAGCGTCAAGAATGTATAATTTGTCGGCATCAAAAGTATCTATCTTTTGGTAAAACCGATTATTAATGAACAAATAAGTCTTGGTAGATATGATTATAACATTGTCGATTGTGTCTAAATATTGTCATAAATAATTGTTTTTTTGCTTTTGTCTCTGATAAGATCCTATCGGTTTTTGGAATAAAATTATTTTATTTATTTTATTTACCTAATATGATATGATATTAGGTTAGTTATCTTTCTTTCGTTATTTTTTATGATATTAAATCATTAAGGAATAATGTAGGTATTTTATATTTGATAATTTTGAATGAATATTTAATTGAAGACAAAATGATCATTATATCAATCAATGATATTATACTTGTAAACAATATGCTCACTGATTTCAACTGTTATATCTTTGACCATCGGAGACATTTTAAGGAAGGTATTGTTTTATTATCATTTAGTAGCAGTAGAGCTCCTTGTGAAAGAGTTCGTCCAGGGAAGTACTGTCACCTTAACTATTACTGCCATCAAGCCAATTATTGCTTGATGGCAGTAATAGGCATGACATTAGTCAGCATTACTGTTTTTCGGTTTTGAAGGGTAAGGTTCTGGTGAAATTACAGGCACATGGAACTTGTCCACTTATGTCTCAGGGTAACAGGCGCAGAGACAGTGCCTCTCAGATATTTAGAGCGATTTAGAGCTCTGACTGGCACTGCAACTGTTATGGACAGGCATGTAACTCCCTACCAGGCGCATGACTTCTTCGTCCCGTCACTTGATATTATAAAAAAAAATATCCTCGTAAAAAAACAACTTTAGCTAAAAATAACGGTTCGTTATAATACGAAACGAAAGATATTGGAAAATATTATTATTATGTATAGTATGACATCTCCATAAATAAAATGTAGTGCAACAAATGTGTGGTCTGAATTGTGTAAAAAATTCCATTATTTCTACGACATGAAAACTGATAACCATTATATAGTAAACAAAGTTTAGTCATTTATAATGAAAGCTCCTAAAGGCGCTACAAGTCTGGACGATAAAATAATCTCAGTACAGAGTACTAAAAAAACCGACCTCAAAAGTACGTGGAACTACGTCTATTTACTAAGTTTTATTGAAATATCCGCTAGATCGCCACTATACAGGACTTGACACTGGAGATAATCGGTTCTCACTACACAACTACTACTCAACTACTCAACACTACTCAAAGCATATTGAGAGAAAAACGCCTTGAATTGGAGAAATAGCAAAATCAACCATTAAAATAATTGCTCCTAAATTAAAGTTAGGCGCTATTTATAAAAATGAATCCTCATGCGTGAACAGCCACCCTTAGAGGTGGATGATTTTCTTCATAATGAAATGTAACCGCTATGGAAGTGCCCCCTTTCCAACAAAAAAAGAATCATGAAAATCGGTTCACAAATACTGGAGTTATCGCGTAACATACATACAAAAAAAAGAAAAAACATACAGTCGAATTGAGAACCTCCTCCTTTTTTGAAGTCGGTTAATAAAACTTTGTTTTAGTAGCAGTAGAGCTCCTAGTGAAAGAGTTCGTTCACGAAAGTACGACCACCTTGCCTATTTCTGCCACAAAGCAGTAATAAGAGTATTACTGTGCTCCGGTTTGGAATGGTAGGGATGCTGGTGAAACTACAGGTACGTGGGACTTGTCAACTTATGTCTCAGCTTATTTAATTTTCAATTAGTAGATTTAAAGCTCTGAGAAGCACTGCAACTTCAATGGACAGGTGTGGAGCTTACCAACAAGCGCACAACTTGCCCGTCCTGTCACTTGGTAAAATAAAAAAAAAATTAAGTTGCCGTTTTGAGTATGTGTTCTATCTTTGGTAACCAATGTCCGATTAAGATCCCAAAATACCGAACCAATATACTAGAAAATTTTTGTAAGTAAAGTAATATATTAAATGAAATAAATATGAAATGCTATCAATTTGTTCGATGTACCACAATACTCAAGGAGTAGACAGAGATCTATTAGCACGATAGTCGATATTATAGTTCGATAGATATTATAAATTTATGCTCTACGTATATTTGTTTTTCTTAACATTGCGATAATTTTATATTAGTAATAAACAGGAGTGTGTACGTGACTGACAGGTAAGGACATTTATTTCTAATGTTGTAATTTGTCATTCAATACGTCATAAATACTAGTATGAAAATACCACATTTCAATATTCGATGTCGAATAACACTGTTTTTCCGTATTTTTGAATCATACAAACAGCGTGCTGCTTTTTTCAAGTACTAAGCTCTCGTAAATAAAATGTAATACTTTCATAAGGCGATATTTGGACATTAAAACGGGAGTTAAAAATGTTGCATTCATTATCTCATGTATAAGTAAGACTACGTGTTTGTCTGGTGCTGTGTCAATTGCTTTAGTAATAATAAGAGCAGGGTTTACATGTGACGAGATATAAGTGAGCGACACTATGGTTACGAGATCTTTTCAGTCGAACAAGAGGACCTGATCAGGGCTTTAGTGGTAAGAGACGGGAGTAGCGATACAGGTTAGCAGATTGCGACGAAATGCGCCATTTCTTTACTGCCAGGCTTGCTTTTCTTCTGGAGACTCTCGAGTTGTGACGTTGCTGTAGTCGAGGTCTTGCATCTGGGTATACATAGTATATATATAGTATGCTATGTAATACTCCATGTATTACATAGTATACTTTGATATATCTAATGGACCCCAATCTCGTCCATGGTTTAGCGCTGACTGTATTCATGCTGAAGCATAAAAACTATTGTTGAGATTCCATGGTTAGTCATTTGGATTTGACACTTAAGGCTCTCTCCGATTGAGGCGATATCAATCTTGTCAAATTTAATGCTACCAAAACGCAGCGCGTCTATTCTTCACTAAACGGAGTCCCTTCGTGATATATTCCTCCCCTATGTTGTGGATATTCCAAGGATTCGCATGAAGCATTTCGCTTCCACATTTATATGGTGAACGGCTATGGAGTGGAATTCCCTGTCTGCAAACTTGTTCCCTGAACGGTATAACTTGGGCCTTTTCAAGGCGAGAGTGAAAAGGCATTATTGAGGTGTGTATGCTCCATCGTCTACTTCATCGACACTTTCCATCAAGTGAGATGGAAGTTAAATGTGCAATTATTTAATATAAAAAAGAGCTGCGAGTTCGAGAGGTCCAAATGCAATTTATTATTTATTTATTATAATGCAATTAAGACCCACCAAAGGATACCCAGAGAACTATCCAGACCATTATCAGCACCTTTAGCCGCTCCCACGAGTATTTCTCCCAGTCATATGCAATTCTGCGGCGGTCATTTATTGAGTAGCGAATCACTGGCGGAAACTAAGATCATGTAATTCTCGTCCATAGTACAGATTGCCATGGCCGACACGTAAGTTTTTAAATTATCGAAGTAAGGACAATTTATTCAGACGGGGATTGTCCGATAGTTCTAGCTTCCAAATGGATGCGCTGATCTCAATGATGTTCTTCTATTTGAAGGCTAATTCATTAGGGATGGTTCTTAGCTATGGGTTATGATGATCTACTAAGCCGCTTAAAGATCATTAGCTCTTTTCCCGGGGTACACGCCCCCCCGCATCGTACCAATCCTTTCCAGTACATGTGGCGCAGCCTGGGCAACAATCGGCGAGTACCTTATACACCGATTGATAAATCCTTTCATCACGATGCAATAAGACAAAGCTCTTTTCCCAGTTGGTGTAGGGATCTCAGCCATTAATGTTTACTTTATCTGGATATTTAGTCGATTGACTTTGTATATTGTGTAAGTCGTATGACACTACATATAATGTGATAACATTGATCTGATGCAATCAGAACAGACTTCAGTCTACACAACTCTTCAATTATTTTCTGCAGAAATATAGTGTTTGTGCTAATTTTGGTCTCGATGAGTAATTGGCTTACAGATGGTGACTAGAGTCTGATGACGTAGCAGAAAGGTGGACATAGGAACAAAACTTTATTAAAGGTAGACCCACTGAGTTTGTGCTCGTTGGTTTAACTTTATTGACTTTTTAGTCGCTGTTTTGTATCCGGCGTTTTTTAAATTTTAATGTAATTTTTTTTAAGATTGGAAAAAGTATTATGTTAAGGGTCTCTTGGAAATGATTCGAGGGTATGGCAAACTAGAGATAATTTTCCAAAGGTGTCGAATACTTAGGTTTTCGCGATTGCTTATACATTGGAAATTAAACTATTTTTTGTCGTATCCAAATCACGTACAATATGTTTTTCCGGCTTCATCTTAGCTGAATTAACGTGAAATTGTATTAAAAAACGTACAAAAAGTTATGTCCACTTTTGAACACAGTATTTTAAATAAAAATCCCGAGAGACACGTAAAAATATTAGATTAAAAACTAATTTAGATAATACAATAAAAATTGTCTTCTTATGACACGTTTTGAAATTGACTTGGCCTCATCTGATCGATTAGATGATTTTTGTACATGTTTTCTTATCATTAAGTAAGTTAATCCTTCCGATAAGATTTCCTACATGTATTTATACGAAGTACTCGGTAGTGTTTCCGTCCGGTTGGTCGTGTCGTCTAAGGAAAACGTACGCCAATTAACATTCGCATGTCGGGTCCACCGCTCGTGTTTCCAGTTCATATAAAAATTCATATGTTTCCTTATACTAAAAACATTTCTTTTGACTACTCTGCTGACAGTTTCCGAAAATGGCTGGTGAACATTACTCTATGAACGAGAAGGTATTCTTTTGTTTATTTTTTTTGTTTTAATTTAAAATCAACATTCAAATAAATTTGTAGAAGTTTACTGAGCTCGAAATACGATTACATTTTCTGATTGAGAGACCAACAACATTTACGTCTATATTATCAATGTAACAGTTTCGGAAGATCATTTTATTGACAATCCTGAACAATCTTTTGACATCGATTTCAATTGTATAATGATTTTTTGCGTCTTAGGTTATAATGGTGTCGAGTTTGTGGTTTCTAATTCCTAAAGTTGAAAATGTGTTATATACACCTAAGAATATTGTTGTTCCCTCTTGAAAAGACAGTCCTGTTGTACTCTGAGTTTTTCCTTTTGTCTATCTGCGAACTTACGTGTGCAATAAGTACTAGGTACTTGGCGTTGCGGGCTGGTGTCCGCATCTCGAAGTTAAGGCGCCTATTTTTCGTGCAATAAGTATTTATATTGTATTCTATATAACTGCCTCTGTAGCCGAATGGTAACCATGCTAAACTGTTCCGGGTTCGATTTCCAAGCTGGGAAAAATATTTGTATGGCCTACGTTTATTTCTCTCGTGAGTTTGGGTGAAGTTTGTTGTTGGCTATGTGTGTGTCCATGGCACCTACGATACAGGGTTTTGCTAATGAGGGGCTATGAGTGTGTCCGTTAAAAAAACTCTATTAAAAGTTCAGTGAGCTCGCTCCTTCCAAATAAAGTTAGCCCCAATTCTGAATTCAGAAAATATTGGCCAAGGTCGTAAAGTTTATCAAAATAACCAAACAAGATCTATATAATCTATAAGATTTAGAAAAACCACAACATAATGAAAAGTAACGAATTATGTTTATTAAAAATTTTAGATATTGGATAGGTGGATGACTAGTACTTGGATTTATCTGTTTGGATACTATTAAGGAGTTTCTTTATGTCTTGTTTTTGTAATAGGGCTGATATGTCCATCAACATCATCATCCACATCCCGACTTCACCCACTACTGGGTATAAGCATGATCAATAATGATCAAAGCCCTTAAATAAATAAAGAGTTAATAAAGTACACATCTACCATATTTCTTTGAGAGAACATGAAACCACAAAACAAAAATTAGGGCCGGATTTTTTTAACAACTGCTATCTCACCTGACGCTCGCGTGCGTACGTCACGCCTGATAGAGACGGCAATAATTTTATCAAATATCTTAATCGGCTGGAAGGACCATCCTCTTAAGAAAATAGTCCTACTAGTTCGCACAGCCGTGTCAGGCAATTCGTAGTTTTAGTTTCGGCTGTTCTGCTAACTTTCTGAAATGACTGAACATGGCTCTGTTAATAGCAAGGTATTTTTATTTTTATTTTATTCCGAGTTTGACGATTTATTTATGAAGCTTTCAAATAATGTTATGGCTAAAATTTATTGACCTTGGAATACGATCACATTTTCCTTGTATTGTGAAGCATAAACAATTTCTGAACAAGCAATCGTATATGTCAATTTCATTTGCGTTATGTTCTGTTTAGTTTTTGGGACTGAAATAGATAATTATGTCGATTTCGGGATTCCAAATTTTTTATGTAAACTATTTCTGATAAATTGTTGAATTTTTTTGTCCTTTAAAAGACGACTGTTTTATTGTACGCTTAAAACTTCGTAAAATATTCCTAGTTTGCTCTCCATTCAATGGATGTGATAGATGTGTAGAATGTACAATATGTGGAAATTAAAATACTTATTAATTATATTACATTCTTTCAGCCTAAAAAAATTAGATTGTCTTGAACAATTTACTTACAAAAAAATAAATTTGTTTAAAAATGACATTAATTCGAAAATTACGTGATTTAGAACCTGTATAATTTTGTAATAACGTAATTTAACAGGAATTGATAAACCACGCTATTAGTACTGGTATTTAGTACCTAGATCGTGGCAGTACATACTAAATATGTAATCAATCGTACGTAGTTTATGCATGGAAAAAAATATATACACAGCTGATTAAAATAATATGAAATAATTGAAATTATATATAAAATACGAAAACGTTAAACAATTAAATTTTTTTACAGTGAAAACAAAAAAAAATCACAAACGCTGAATACAACTCACACAATTGTTAAAGCTGTTTAGTTATTTATTAGCTAATATTCATAATCTCAGTACTGAGTATTAAAAAAACCGACCTCAAAAGTTTGTGGAATTACATCTATTTGCCCAGTTTTATTGAAATCGGTTACGAGGTGGAATTTTGCTTCAAATTTTAATTTCTCTGAACAACAAAAGGAGAATCATCAAAATCGGTTCACAAATGCCTTGAGTTATCGCGTAACAATACATACAAAAAAAATACAGTCGAATTGGGAACCTCCTCCTTTTTTTGAAATCGGTTAAAAAGCCCGTATATTTGTTAATCTTAGATTTTACCAGTAAATCTTAGGATATACGGACATGAGTTTGTAAATGTCAGGATTTATAAAAAAGGGACGATTTTTTCGGGCTTGTACATTACAGTTTGGTACATGCTAGGTTTTTTCCATTGACTGCTGATCTCTTTCCAATTATAAAATATATATATATATATATATATATAATATAATAGAACAATGAGTATTTTTTAATCATTTATTTCAATTATCGCGTAACATACATACAAAACAAACGTACGGTCGAATTGAGAACCTCATCCTTTTTTTGAAGTCGGTTAAAAATCTATGCAAATATGGATATTTTATTTTAAACCTATGCCAAACTAACTTTACAGAAGTGTTAATTTTAATTGGAACAAAGGTTAAGTTGTACGTCGTTGGCGGTAATCACAGAACGTTTTTATTGTAAAATGTTGGTACGCAAGTTCCTGAAATGACTAGAACGTATTTTGACTATATTGAATAATTTGAAAAGATATTTTACGTCATGTTTTATTGCCAAGCCGTTGACTTAATGCCAAAAAATATATTTATAAATAATAATAAAATCAAAAAACTACTTCTTGTTTCTCGATACTAATCATTTTAAAATGAGAAAAGACAAGCCTAGTTTAAATTGTGAGTCGCCATTTTTAAGTCTCGTACTTTACATTCGACTGAAATTCGGCTGGGGCACCAAACGATTTTTTTTATAATATCAAGTGACGGAACGAACAAGTCGTGCGCCTGATAGTAAACTACACGTCTGTCCATAACAGTTGCTACGCCCGTCACCCTGAGACATAAATTAACAAGTCCCATGTGTATGTAATTTCCCCAGCACCCTTACCTTCAAAACCGGAAAACAGAAATGCTGATATTACTGCTTGGCGACAGAAACAGGTGAAGTACGTTCTACTTATTCAATTGCTTTTAAGCGTTTGTACAAGTATAGTGCAATGGATCCATTAAAAATAGTGTGCTTTTATAAAACATTCGATGATAGAAAAAGTAGCCGGGTACATCCACTCAATATGGAAATATTAAAATGTTGACGGTTTTATATACCATCTGAAAGTTTATGAGATCAATTAGTAAAATATCACATATCACCACATATCAATAAATGATTCCCTCGCCCATTTCCTCGCCGATCAAATTTTTGTCGTAATTGCGTGCGTGAGTCGGCAACCAACTCATTTTGAATCGTCGTGTGGCACAGACCGGAGTTTAATATGAAACGAAATGCAGCGTAAATTAAAACTTATTATTAACTCCACTCAAACTGGCGCAGAGTCGAAGCTTCGCGTCGCGTCCTATTTTTTAATTACAACGCACGACGACGCTGTTCGCGTTAGCGCGCGGATCGCAGTGTGGTCGGCGTCTGACGCGTCACTGCGCGCAAGTAACGCACGCGCGGCGACGCGCTATTCCATATATGCATAACATAATTTGTACATTAATTATGGGAAAATAGAGATAAATATGCGATAGGCGAAGTACATGACGCGTCGCGACGCTTCGAGTCTGCGCCAGTGTGAGTTGAGCCTAAGCGAGTCATAACCTCAAAAGATTGCGCTCGCTCAGCCTTACCTTAAACCTTTTCATTTGTACGTGTACTACGACACCTAGTAAAAGTGATAGAACAGCTTCATACACACAAACACACACACAAACACACACACACATACACACACACACACACACACACACACACACACACACACACACACACA